TTTTTTTTTTTTGTATTTATTATAAGCATCAGTTCCTTGCTGTTTATGCTGCCAAATTTCAATATTAGACGGTCATTAAGCAAAAAGAATGACTGATGTTATTTTCAACGTCAATAACTCTTTTAAAAATAACTGTTATACAAGTCGTCTTTTGCTTTTTCTGTTTAAGGTTACTTAGTTTATAATTCCATTTTTCTGACATTTTTCTAAAGGGTATAAAAAAGGTCACAAGACAAACTAGAAAAGTTAGACAAAGCAACAAGATATAAGAGCATTAGTTTTACTTAGCATAAAAACCTTGTTGACGTCGATTACTATTTCATTTTTGAAACAACGTCTAAAATTCTGTACCTTAATGAACAAAAATTCTGCAAAACAGAATGCCAGCAAACACAAAAGTTCAATTTTTGAAATTCACTTCTCCATCTTTTCCTCCTCTTCTCATTTAAAGGTCATAAAGCATTCTAAAAAAACGTAAAAATTGACCAACTTCATTATTATTTTACTAATTGATTCTTTCTAGCCCGCTGATTTTAGCATGTCATGTCTTTTGTTATGACCGGAAGAGCTAGACAAGTGAGAGGCGCTTAAACTTGGTCTTCTTTAGCTTTTTTTGGTGGAGGGGAGTACGCTTTGCTGTGTAGACGAAAAGCTGGTGTTACGACTTTAATTTCAAGTCTTCAGAAACCTTAAGAACCTGGTTAGTTATCGTTTTATTTTTTTTAACCTTTATATGCTTTACTACTATTAGACTGTGTTGTTCAGCGCTGATATTTTGCACAAAAACTTAGGTTTCATTGCTCACTCACTAAATCATCATGAAGACTCGTCAAAGCATTTGTCTGCTGTATACTCTTCTTTCATCGTGGTTTCAGGCAGATCTGTACCACCAATAAAGGTGATCTTTTAAACTGTTAAAGCGTTTTACCAAGTTTTTTTCACAGTTTTTTTCCTCATTTTCAAAGCAGATTTGTACTTCTCTAATTGACAAACTAAATATTGACTGGATAAGGAAACAATAAGCGGGGAAAACGAAAAATGGCAAAAATAGTTTTTATTTGTATACTTGTCTTAATCTTTTTGGTCTTAAATTTATTGGCCTCTAAACGATTTTAGAAACAGTTTATTCGCCGCTCTTTGCGATTAATTTTTCCTTGTCCAATACAATTACAAAAATATTTTGCAGAAAGCTGCATTGAACATTTGAAAAAAAAAAAAAAAGATAAAGCAACAGTAAGATTTCGCTTTTGTTATTTGTTCACATTAATGTAAATGCAGAAGAACCTAAAATTAAACAGAAGTTACAGTTTTTTAGCTTTAAAAAAACGAGACGTATAATGCTTTCATATTAATTACGTAGAGAAGGACGCCCGTTGTCTGCGCCGTTACATGCGCAAACGTTTGACTCTCCCTTTCCCTTCCCAACCTTCTTCAATCCGCTGTACTGAGTGACAAAGCTTTTAGCAGATGACGGCAACTGCTGCTGCAATCCAACTTTTACATCATTGCCAAACAACTCTGAAATGCGAAGATCACTCACCACTGGCTGGATGACGAAAATGTTTGCATTTATGATGTACATCTGTAGTGATACTTGATTTGGAAGCAACGAACAGCGCAGAGTTGCTTTGCTGATTATCATCGTTTAGCACCGTTAAAACGATCTTATACTAAAGTCATTTGTTATTCCTCTCTTTTCTTCCAAACTTTTGAACAACATTTTTTCTCATTT